GGTTGTCGAGTATATTTTGACAATAGTAGTAGCCAGTTCTGACAATGGTTGCGGCGGACTTTTTACCATAATGGCGTGGTATGTGACTTCTATCTCAGCAAGCGCTCGGCGTATGAACGGAGCAGGAACCACGGCAGCCTGACAGCGTATAGTACTCATTCATGGAACCCTTTATAAGCTTTAATTCTCACAGGCACTCCAAAGCTCCTCCACTTCCCTGGGAAGAGTTAAAGCAGCTGAAACTGCTAGACTGAGCCTCAGACCCTTCTGAGTGACCATGCAAGTTGATTCCATCGTCATCTTCGGTAATGGTGATGGAATTTATGGGTCCCAAATATCCGGCATGTAAAGGAACACATATGCGGGAATCAAGCCTGCGGCTTGTGATTCGGCTCTCCGAGGCATGCCCAGTACCAGCATGCTGTTGCGATCTGATAATCAATCTTAGTAAGCGCAAGAGAGTTAGATTAGTGAAGCATACGATGCTCTTACAATTGCGCGTGTCAATGGCGCTGGATGATAGAGGCATCGATGTGCGCAACCACGCTTTCGACAGCGTGAGCACGTAGGCTGTACATGGTCGCAACGAACCTTGTCTTTGCGACAAGGCTCACAGGATGTAAGTTTCCCATTGCGTCGTCAGGAAGACCTATAGATAGGTGGGATCAGCATGGCAAGGATTTCATAGTAACGGATGGAGCACAAACATGTTGCGCGACCAACAGCTGGCACTCTCCAGGCTGCAGGCGTTGGTCGCGGGGTTGTTTGGGAAATGAACATGTGATGTAGAACCATGTTTGCTTGGTAATTGTTTAGTCAGCCTTACAACAACGATGGTGTGTAAATAACTGATTATTTTAACTGCTACTAGTACTTTGTAATTACTGTGGTGATTGATCCCGGAAATGCTCCCACCCCCTATCTAGCTTCGTGATCCGATTCACGTAACTGATCTTACTTCAGAATTACGTTCCACATTTGATGGAACCCGACAGTGGAACCCTGACGGGGCGATGACGGCACGATGCACTGGCCCTCCCCCCCGGAACCTTATCGGAAGCTATCCGCAATGCATGTCCTCTACCAGGCAGGGAGGGTGGTCTGCCCTCGTCCAAAGTGATCAGGGCCTCTTCATCTTCATATTTCTCTATCGAAATGGTACCAGCACATCATGGCAGATGCTTCAGAGACTTCAGACACTTCAAACACCTTTACCCTTCAAGGGGTCGGGGCCAGTAGTGTACGATCACGATCCCCGCTAGAGATGCGGGAACTCCGAGCTAATACCGTATTTACTAACTCTAGGTCCCTGGATCCATGCCAGCCCAAGAAGACAGGTACACTATACTTCTACCTGATGAGTTCTCGGGGCACACGGACAGCCTGGCCTTCTTTGCCATCTACGACGGACAGTACGGGAATCACATCACACCTCTGGCAAGGTAGTCGTGACTAACTATGGAAAAAGTGCCTCGGATAAGGTTGCAGAACATGCAAGCAAGAATATCCGGCGGCTTCTGATTAGCAGTGGCGAGTTGAGACAGGGAAACTATGAATCGGCCATCGAACGAGCAATACAAGCCGAGGAGGAGGAGCTTCTACAAGGGTTTTGGGCTGGCGAGGAATTATTCGCCGTCGCCGGATCGACTGCCGCCCTCGTCGTGGTGAACCTAACCAGGGGAATCCTGGTGGTCGCCAATCTGGGAGATTCGCACGTTTTGCTGGGAGAGGCCGACGGGGAAGATCACACCTCCCTGAAAGTCGTATGTAGAAGTCGCAAGCCTGTTTTCATTATACCAGCGCCCTCTAACTGTTATGAAGGAGCGAATAACCACATCCCACAAGGCCGGAACATGCTGGGGAGAGGCATCGCATTGAGTCCGCCGGGGGAACCCTCAACACCGATGGCGGTGTGCCACGAGTTGGTTAGTTTATCCTCGTCCCATCTCGCACGTGGTTACGAACCTAACCTCTGCAGGGGGGTTGAATATGTCGCGGGCGCTGGGCGATTTGCAGTATAAGTCGCCGCTAAAGGATATCGGGGAGCAGTCCCTATCCAGCGGTCAGGAGAAGGCAGGCATCGAACCAACAAAGAAGGGGGATTTGGTGTCCAGTTACCCTTCTTTGAAACGATATCCGCTGCAGTCGGATCGTCGGTACTTCTTGGCGCTGATCACAGACGGGGTAACCAATACAATGGATGACGAAACCATCATGCATCAGATCGCGCGGAGCAAGCAAGATGGAATGGATGCAGACAAGGTGGCCGCTAAGATCACCGAGAAGGCTTCAGGAGTACCCGACAGTGACAATGCCACCTGCGTCACTGTGTTCCTGGATGGGCACAATATACGAAAACAAGAGTAGATAGACAAGGTTGGGATCGAATATTCACTCTCCACTTCTCATGTAGAGATGACTGGGAGTTCCGGGATTTTCTTGGCATTCCCGTTGACGCCACGGGTTGAACAAACCGTAGATCATCGCTGCCCCGGCACGTAGCAACCTGCGAAGCTCATGGTTACTGACTGGGCTACCTTGCAGGCTCGTTCCTACTGTAGGATGACGGCAGGCCCCACAGTTGCAGAAGTATCGAAGGTGATCGACTTTGGCAGTCAGCTGTGGCTGGACGCGGCTAGAATGTCAGGGTCCATGGTTCGGATCAATGACCTCAGCGTAACAAGCCAATCATGGAAGTAGTGATATCTTCATCTTGATCGAGCAATCATCGCAAGATATTGCATCACGGAGTCTCAGATGTGTTCGTCAATCAAGATCTCACTACTTGGCTGTTCACAGTACTTAAACAGCCAACCGGTGTGCAGATCAACACTAAATACATCCTGCTTAGATCCGCTACATTTAGACTGTCTCATAGACTTTGCTGTTCATTTTGCTGTGCAGAATGTTCGAAAGTGTCGTGTCACCACCTCAGGTCCGTGGTCGGGTACCTCGGGTTCAACCAGCCCCAAGACCGGTCGCTGCGACCAATATCATCGATATCCGCAGCGATAAAGCAGAGACTCAGCTGCGCCAATCGCTAGAGGCTTCCATCCACGCGGCTTGTCACGGTGAGGCTGCCATGCCAGAACTTCTCCTTTGGGATGAACAGGGACTCCGCTATTTTGAAGACGTGACGTACGCCCCGTCGTACTACCTGACCAATGAAGAAATTGGCCTACTTGAAAAGCACAAATACCAGATCGCACAACACATTCCGTCCGGCAGTATGCTGGTTGAGCTAGGCAGCGGGTAAGCGTTCCAACCTTTCAACTCCAGTGGCAGCCGTACTGATTGAACAATTAGAAATCTCCGCAAGATTAAGATTCTTCTAGATGCTCTAGACGAATTGGGTCGGGAAGTGGACTACTTCGCGTTGGATGTTTCGTATCAGGAGCTCCACCGGACTCTTAGCATCGTGCCCCCGGGAACGTTTCGCCATGTACGCTGCTTTGGGTTACTGGGAACCTACGATGACGGTCACAACTGGATGCAATTGCCCGAAATTCGTTCGCGATCCAAGACCATTCTCTCCCTGGGATCAACATTGGGTAGTTTCCAGCGGCCGGAAGCCGCCGACTTCTTGGCTAGTTTCGTCACCCCCGAAAACAATTCGTCGCTGCTCATCGGCTTGGATGGATGCAAAGATGCCGATCGGGTGCTGGCCGCCTATAACGATTCCGAGGGGTTCAATCGGCGTTTCATCAAGCACGGCCTTGAACGCGCGAACGAGATCCTAGGGCCGGATACCTTCGATCTCGACAAATGGGATGTCATTGGCCGCTGGGATGCAGCGCATGGAAGCCATAACCAGTACTATGTCCCCTCAGATGAGGTGTCTCTAACGGGAGAGACCATTCCAGCGGGCCGGAGCATCTTGGCAATCAAAAGCCACAAGTACGATGCTGACGACAGGGATGCGTTGTGCCGAAGAGCAGACTTGGCTGTTAGCGATGCATGGGCATCTAAGAACCAATACAGTAAGTTTATCTAGAGCTCCTTATCGCTATTAGTTCCTTCGTTCAAAAAGATATCGGGCATGGGGTTGCTTTCTCTGCATACACAGCTAACCCGCTCCCAGATTTACTATATCTTGAGAAACCATAGGGTGTCACCCACGAGCAAGAAGCATGCAGACAGCCGAATACTCAATATATGTTTCCGGGGATTGTTTGAATCCTATCACGCACTGCTGTAATTACTTAATATTATAATCTTATACGGGTGCTGTATGAGCCAGGAAAACAAATAAGAAGGACTGCAGGCTTAACATTGTGAGGTCACACTACCGAGTAATTCTATTAGGCCCGACTTTTCAGGATATTTGACTTTGCCATTAGACCATCGACCTTTCCTCAATTATCACCTAAGTATGTCTGCATCTATAAGAAGAAGTTCTAGTAACCGTGCTCACTTGAAAGAAAGAAGAAAACCATCAGTATTTCAATCGAAGGGCTCATATTGACCACCTGAACCTGCCAAGTATCGATATTCGATGCCATTTAACTTGTCACGGAGGCCCGTAATCATGGCAGGTGGGCTCCCATTCAAATTTTGCCCATTCTGATGCATCTGGCCCACGACTAAGTAGTGCTGTTTGTCCTTGCCCAATAGATAGCATGTCGCTATCAAGGTGCTGTTTCTCCGTTACTAGTATGGGGGTTTCGGTTCATCTCGCGTTTGCTGTTGTTGTGGCTCGGGAGGGCCCGTAGTGTCTCGGTCGGTCAGCTGCAGGGGGTCTTCGAGGTGGGAATTCGACGAAACTGACGTATCTTACTGTCTTCTAAACTAGCCGGGCTCATAGCTTAACAGCTATGATGGCTCTCTGATAGCTCAAAATACGCGACACAGGGTAGGATCATGAAGCCTACGGCAAGATGAAGAGGTGGCCTCGGGTTATGTGACCGTCGCCATTCACACTTGAGACGTTACTGAAGAAGAGTCCAGCCAGGTATGTATGCGAATGAAACATTACATCCAGTGGTTTTATTGTAGTGACACGGGGAATATAGGGTGTTACCTGCTCGGACTATTCACTGAGGTAGTGTCAAGCTTCGGGGCGTTTGGGACCGTGTCTCGTAGTTTTGGCAACTCTAATATCTTATCATAAAGTTAGTAGTAACTTTCGGAATTGTTCAATAGTAGCAGTAACGACTACTATTTCTACTACTAATATTATTTGAAATGTATATTCTATTCCTGTATTTGAGACTTAAAGCTATACTACTCTCTATAATAGATTATCTACCGAGTTCGATACCATATCCATATCCCATCCCAATACAATATTGATATATACCATATCCCACCCAACCCGAACGAATAGACATACCAACCAACACATAAACCTACAACTCCTTCTTCAAGAAGTGCTCCGGCTTATGCGTGGTCTCATAATCCACATGCACATACGCACGCTCCACGTCTGGCAAAGACTCCAACTTCATCTGCAATTCCTCCGCGACATCATGCGTAGCCCGCAGCGAATCGTTCGGGTCCATGACGATGTCCACTTCCACAAGCAATCGAGGACCGGAGGTGTATGCACGGACGGTATCGATGGCGGTGATGAGGGGGGAGTGGGTCATTGCTTTACGATTAACACGTTATTAGCTTTTATCTTTCATCTATAGGCGGGAGTGGAAAGGAGATAAGAGAGGGGGATAAGCTCACAGATATATGTAATCAACTGTTGCATCTTCGTATCGGCCGTAACACCGATAAGCAACTGGAACTCGCGATACGCGCTGAACAGCCACAAACAACTGACAAGCACGGAGAGGACGATAGCTCCCGCGGGGTCAATCCACCAGCGCAGTTTACCTCCACCTACGCTGGTAAGGATACCGAATCCGTTGATAAGGAGGTCATTGCGGTGGTCTTCCCAAAGGATCATGACCTGGGAATACTGATCCTTCAGCGCGAAGCAGTACAGGAAAAGCACGAATTTAGTACAAAAGGCGACGATGACGGCGACAACGGAGGGGAGGTGGAAAGATCCCGTCTCGGAGTTGGATCCTTCGGCGAGTTCGCGGACAGAGAAAGCAATGAGGATGAAAGAGACAGCCGTCATGAGAAAACAGAAGCAGATGTTGCCGGCTGTTTCGATACGAGCTTTTCCGGCGGGGAATTTACGAGGGTCGACGCGATTGACGGCCTTGTTGGAGACGAGGAGAGTGATATTGGAGAGAGGATCAAAGACGGCGTCGGCCATGGTTGTGTACAAGGACAGTGAGCTGGAGGAAATGGCCCCGTAGAGTTGAAGAACGCAGAGGATGACATTGGCGGCGAAAGAGCCCCAGACGGCGATTTTGTACTTGAGTTGGTTGCTGCTGTTTGTTTCACGGGCATCGCGGACGTGTTCTTCGACGGGCTTGAGCATGCGTTGGATGTTCTCATTCTGGGATTCGTAGAACGTTTGAAGTTGTTTGGAGGCTAGGGAGGAAGCGAGCGCATTGCGGGGGTTGGCGTTGTGCGGGAGGCAGCCGGAGGTGTGACGTTTGCGGGAGATGTTGGCTTGGGGTTGCATCTGGGCGATTTCTTCGGGACTTTTCAGCTTCGAGGCTAGTTGGAAGGGGTCATTCTCGCGGGTGTAACGCGGAGGCGGGCTAGACTCCTCGTCAGATGTGCTGAGGTGAGATTCCAGGGCTGTGGTGGTGGCGGCATTGTAGGAGATGGATGAGGGAAGGTGGTGAAGAGGGATAGTCTGAGGAGGGTCAGTCATTTTGATGACGATATTCAGAAGAAGAATAAGGGTCAATGGAGATGGAGGAGATGGCGGCAGAGGAAGGGGAAATCAACGGGAAGCGATGAAGAGGCTCAGGATGCGGAGATCAGATTTGATTGATATGCCTGTTTGGGTTAGACCGGGATGGCTTATGTCATCCTTACATCCCTGCCGATTATAGTTCGTAACAAATTTGATGCAATTTGAATTATTTGCATCTATGACGGTAATACTGAGGTGCAGATAGAGCACCATTGGTTGCTTACTGCTTTCTAAGCATGCAGTTGACACTGAAATATGAGGAGAAGATAAAAGTTTCGCAAAAGCGCTCAAGTACATATATTGTATAGTTTTACAGTCATTCACTCTATCATAGGCGCCCGACAGGCGATAACTGTACTGTATGACAAAGACTCAAATACCTCAACAGACACATAATGGCCAGTAACTATTATCAATAGCCACAACAGAACTTATGACAGCACTGTGATGTTGCTTGACAGGGTAGTACATTTGTACGGAAGATCCAACGACGGACGCCCAGCACCAGTCAGGGGCGACGTGCTATAGTTGTAGGTCGGGCTGAGCATCATAATCTGGCCCACGGTGGTGTTGTACTTGTCTGCATAGTCCTTGTACACCCCATACTCCAACGTGAACGGCCTAATCACGCACTCACTTGGTGAACACAATGGCACCTTGAGGTACTGGCCCGGGGCAAGAACCTCATCAGCCGTGAAACTGGTATCGTCACTCATGAGCGATTCCGTTGTAATGTTCAGTCGTTTCGCGACAATGTCGAGCGTATCCCCGTTGACGGTGTAGTATAGACGCGGACCACCATTGATGCAAGTGCGGGTGCGGGTAATATTGGGTAGGAGGCAGGTCTCATTATCGGGCTCACAGACCTCAGCCGGGATGATCAAAGTCTGGCCGACGTTGGGGATGATCGTCACATCGGCCATAAGGTTTTGACGGCCGATGTCGCAGACACCTCGGTTAGTGGCCTTGGCAACATCAAAGACTGTGGTATTCTCCACGGTAATGGGATACAATCCCACAGTGGTGTTGAGAGCGCTGGCGTTGCAGGCTGCCGAAGTCGCGAGGGTTGAAGGCAGTGAGCCCAGGAGGGCTGCGGTGGCCATGAGGGCCCGCGAAGAAAGAGACCACATTATAATTCTTGATTGCAAGAGTCTGTATTAACCCAAAGCACGAAAGGTTTGTGTATTCCCGCGAGAAAATAAAGAGCTTAGAAGGGAAAGTATGCTGTGACTTTCTGGGGTTGAACGAGGAGATTCAACTTGGGTCGTGTACCGGCTTTATATGCTCCCAGAAAGCATGGGGCCTATCCGAGAATTGAACATGTTCCTGTACATGAGCAGTCAATCCTGAGACACCGCGCGGGCTATCAGTGGAGGAGTACGTACCATCGGTGAGGACATTGTTGGTACTGTCCCCGCAGGGATAGCCCCAAGCATAGAGGGCCTCGTCCTGCAGCACCAGCACTTGTGAACCTGCACCCACCGCTTTAGAGATTGCATGCCTGCGACTGGACGATGCAGCAGACCCCCCGGAGCCCCGTGAATAAAATCTTGTTCATTTGGCTAAAATATGCCGTAGGAGCGCTGGCTAAGCCCATTACAGCTACTCCGCCCGAGGAGGGCTTTTCGGCGATGGGTCCTGCTGACCCGCTCCGAACTGACCGGCCCAGAGAGCAGCCAAACAAATGGATGGCAGTGTCCATCGCAATATTTCTGTCGGGGTCTGGATTGGATGGCTAAAAGTTGGAGACGGCCGGGGAAAAGGGTTCAGTTCATGAAGAGTAGTAAATGCCGAGTTGATGAGATTATATCCGGAGTAACTACGAGATAAACATGATCAATTTGGTTTGCACAGACCCCGTGAGGTGGAGCCGCTCTCCGTAACGCGGAGATAATGATGCTAGTCAAGTCATCCGGCTCTGCTGCCACTGTCCTTCCTCTGCTTCTCGTCTTTTGTCTCTCAACCTCCTTCTCCCGTCTTTTATTCTTTCCCTTCCTCTTATTGTGGGCATCGGACTAGCGGTGATGATCATGCGGGGAATAAAACTTTTGTCTCAAAGGATTGAGCAAATTCCACCCATGACCCTCCGCGTCTTGCCTGGGCCGCGTCATGGTACGTATCTGAATCCCAGCTCTGATCATGTCGCTGCAGGAACCCTGCTAGTTAATTGGTTCTTTCTGACCTATTACTCCGAGTCTAGTGCTCTAGCCGGGGAAATACTTCCCCTCACCTTCCCTGCTCCTGCCCTCAGTCTGTATCTCTCCCTTCAGCGGATCCACCATGGCAGCTTGGTCTCCAAGGCCAATGCTAGACTAGTGCTTTCTTTGCAGGCCTCCGGTCGTCCTAACGCCGAGTAGGCTGAAATTGGTAAGACATGTATAGCAAAATTGAGTCTACAGGTAACAGGAAGGCAACAAAAAAAGGGTGTCAATACCTTCGATAACTTCGCGGAAGCCAGGGAATTTTTTATTTTTCATTCACGCTAGCGCAGCTGCATCTCACAATAGGGCATCGGAGCTGATGGGTAGTATGCTCCAACTTCCGGTCCAACGAGTAGTGTCCCTCGATGATACATCCCCCGGCCAATTCCGGCCTGTCAGACGCAATTCATCCTGCCTGGAATCCTGCTGTATATGCACCCAGTCTTGGCAAGCGGAGTGGAGTGAAACCGATGCCCGGGTTATAGCGGGTATTGTCATATCCTTGGGAGTGGTGAACACTTCGAGACTCCACCGCCTAGTACACACAGAGGATGGTCTTAAAAGTGTCTATAGTAGCTAGGCTCGAAGAGCCCGGCAGGTGTTTATATTGAAATATATTGACTTAAGACTAGGTGCTTTGTGTGTTTAGCCCCGTTAGGCATTCACTCCAGGACTACCCCGCTGCTAGTCCATAATGTGCAGCAGCGAATTGAACAGCCGAACAAGTGAGTCTGAGAAGAGGGCCATCGAGCTTGATAACTCCATGCTTGGTTGTCTAGCTTCACGCAGTGGTCGCCTGTTCCCCCAAAGGTCCAGATTGAACACGCGCGCCTGATGCTCTTCCTTTCTTTGGTTCGATCAGTTCACCTTCGTCTTAGGCCATCTTTCCGCGATCGCCTGTGGCTCTGTCGGGCGTCGCGCCGTCCGACTCCTGGGCGGCGATGGTGGTGGGGCCTAGTAGGAGAAACCCCAGTCCGACGCTGATGATTATGGAGCTTGCTCGCCGGTGGTGTTGGCGTCCACTCTGGGCTCCTTTTCGCACCTTTCAATCTGCAAGTGCTCGGGGCCTGAGGGCGAATCAATCACACGTCGGGTGTTTGTTTGTTCCAACCTTTTCCATTCCACCTTTAACTGCGTTTTCGCACATTATTGTGGGCCACGCCGGAGGTCCTCAAGCGATGGCCACATGGCCGCCTATGAGTTCAACCGCGTCAACGGTCATTCCTCCATATACCATTATACTATATATTGATTGACTAACATATGTCTAGATCGTTATATTGTTGTCCGCCACTCCTTGTAGTCCTGTCAGCTTGTCTCCGAAGCGTCTGCCAATCGGCTAGTATCGTATCTCAAATCCCATTGCAGTCCGGCTCCGTGCGGTCCAATTCAATGGGCGAAAGTCGTCGTCCGATCTCTTCCCTTGACTCGCTGAGATGGGCAGTTCCGGTGGTTGATGCAAGAAGATCATCACCGAACTTCTTCATCGTAGTCAACATTAACGTAAGGCTGAATCAGGATCAAGCTGGCCTTGGATGATATCTATCTTCATCAAGAAATGATTGCTGCTCCCAGCTCTCCTCAATCCATTCAGTGGTAACTATGTGAGGAAGTTTCTGGTCCACTCGGAGAGACAAGGTTTTCCTTAGCGTGGCGATCTCCGAAGATGGTGTATCCGGATCTACAACCACATGGGTGATGGAAGGGTCCTCATAAGTATTGACAACGGTAGCACCTGCAAATTTGGCCGTATTGCGAGCCAAAGAAAGTCGATAGCCGCAGCCGGCATATTCGGGCTCTCCGGGATCTGGATCCTGCGTTGTCCGGTCGGGAAAGAAGAACGTCAAGTTCTGAAAAAGCCACCCGCATGGGAGATCCCATCCTGAGTCCACTTTTTCTTGAATAGCTTCCCTAAGCTTCTTGGTGGCTTCGCCTCTCGGGGGCACGTCGGAACTACCATTGTCAGCGCTCATCTTTTCGAGTAAGCTGACCAGCTCTTCCTTGGTGACATCCCGAGCGTAGCTATCATTGAACCGGTCAACACTCGTCAATACCTCCTCCTCCTTGCTAGGCGTTGTGAAGAACATGTGCCTAGGTTCCAGGGGAAGAAGCAGGTCTGGCAGTCCCGCATCAATCTCGTTCTGCCTCACACAGTCTAGGATCCAAGATGGTCGGATTAGGCTCACATCGCCACTCTTTTGCAAGGAGGCTGCTTTCACAGTTCTTCGATCCGCGATACATACGGTGTTGGGAGCGGCCTTATTTGTCTGATATATCTTGCCTCCATTCAATTTGACAAGTTGTTCCAACTCCGCCTTTGTTTTCTTATTCGGGGCCACCGAGTCGGTCAAAATAAAGAAGTTGAGCCCGTCGAAAATATGCCCTGACGGACCTTCATACTTCACCTCTGCATTCGGGCTGTATCCTGCAACTGTCAAGGCCTTCTTTGGTCGCTTCACTCGTTTCTTGCGGAAATTCTCTACATTGAATTCCTTCTCCTTTTGCTCTTTCTCCACGTTCGACTTCAGATCCAGGAATTCTTGCATGGAAAGCGCACTCTTCCAGTCTTTATCCATGCGTAACCTCTTGAACCGCGGGAAGCGCAATGTTAAACCGACACGAAATTGATCACTGACTGATACCGATGCTGCTTTAACACAGAGTACCACCGAGTCCTCTGGCTTGATCCACTGATCTGGACGCTCGTGCTGGGCACTGCCACCTGCCAGCTCAATGTATGCCGTTGGTGGTTTCCTCGGGTTCCAGTCCACCCATTTCCCATCAGTATGATGACGGATATTCGCATAGTCTGCTGCTGTAAAGCCTCCTCCGACCTTGCAGAAAGAATAGCATTTGGTTGCCCCTATCCCTTGCGAAGAGCTGGCATTATCGGCCCTTAATCCACATAGGAAGCTTGAAAGACCCCCTCCTCGATGACCACTGCCGTAATAGCCGCCTATGACAATCAGATCCAGGGACTCCCCAAACTCTGTCATGTACTCAGGCTTCACTTTCATCCAGTCGTCATGTCGTTCATTGAGGCGATATGGTGACCTTGGATTTTTGACTACTAGTCCCTCAGAAGCCTCCGCAACAACTTTTCGAAGCGCTGCTTCGATCTGGGCCTTGTCTGTAGCCTCCTCGTAAGGATGGATTTCGAACCGACGGTGAACTGACTTTACACTCTTCTGCAGGGCATTTCGACGATCGCGAAGAGTGTACCTGGTCAAATTGTGCCCATTCAGCAAGAGTAGATCAAACACACGAAAAAGCGGCCGCGATCCGTTTGAGAACGGATTTCTCTGTTCAGCTAATGCGGCAGTTTTTAAGGTGCCAAATGGTTCGGGGGCGCCCTGCTCGGGATTCCAAGCAATCATTTCCCCGTCCAGGATCAAACTGTTGACCCCATCTGCAAAGGCGTCTTTGAGATGTCGGGCCAAGGCACCATTGGGGTCCTCAAGGCTCTTTCCATAGAGATAGGTGTAATCCTTCGCTTTCCTCGACCAGAAGCGAAACTTCTTTCCTCCCGGCACCGAGCTGTCAGTCTCCATATGAAGCTGCATACGTTCCCCGTCGAGCTTCTCCTCGATCCAGAATACCGGGTCTTCTTCGGTACCCCGCATTCGAGGCAATCATTCGATCAAGGGACTGCATCTGAAACTGAGCTAGCTGGGGCTGGAAGCATTGCATCAGAGAAATGCCGCTGTTTTCAGCCCCAAGCCGAATGTTCGGATCATGCAGCTCCCAACAAACACGTTGAAGGCTACTGGATATGCTATAGAGGTTTGCAGCATCTGGGTGCCATACATTGAATAAGGTTCGCTCTGTAGCCCCGACTTTCATCTGTCGAAGGATAATGCGGATCAGCCACAGCAGCTCCTCGGGGTTCATTTTTCGGTAAAACTCCGACAAGATGGGTAGCTGCTGCTCCTCCTTCGAGGCATTTGAAAGCTGGTCGAGCCTGTCATTCACCTCCTCAATGGACATATTTCCCACCTCTGTCCTCATTGGCCGTTTTGAGATAACATCGTAGCAGCGTCTCGCAAAATCCCCCGCCATAAAGCGCGAGGTAGCCAACTGGCCTGGCAGCTTCCAGTTCAAAAGATTGAAGCCGTCATCCGAATTCTTGTCGATCTTCATAATTTTGACGAGTAGCTTTCCGATGGCCTTTTCTTTGATACCGTACATGGCCCGGTCGCGATCTTTGTCCGGAAGAATCAGCCGAAACGCAGGGTAGATATCATCCCCCACCTCTTTCCGCCATCGTGAGATGAACCGCTCAATGACATCCCGTCGCTTTTCGTGTGGGGTAAGGTTCGCCGCCGACTGGCCATGAGGCCCGACTTTTCGCCGAGGAGCGGCGGTGCCTGCAGGCTTCTTGGAGAGCTCACTCAACGGATTGAAGAGGGTCTCAAAGAGCTCGTGAAAGGGCAATGTCTGGGAGTGATTATGAGGACGGTTTGGGTATTTCTCATCCAGATTTGACTCTTGTTGTGAGGGTTGACTGCGGGAGTGTGACATTTCATAATTGCTGGCCCCTTCCTCATTCATGGTTCATCAATGTGCTCTGTGCAGGGGCGTTTGTGAGATGAAAGGGAATAGTAAGTGAAGTATTTTAGGGAACCATGAACAGGCTGGCTGGGTTGTTGAAGTATGGAGACGATAAGGACCAGATGTGGAGAACACACGTCGGTGGACTGGCACGTGATTGAACTATGGCCGGCCAGAATGTGGGGCGGCTGGAGCACTAGCACCAAATAGGCAGCAACCACTGCAGGCACCCACCTCTGCTGCCTACTTACTACTTACTTACTTACTATCATATGTCATGATGGGGGACAACATGGAAAGAGTCTGTTTCGTCGGTACTATTGGAAGGAAACATTTGAAAGCAGAGGCATAGTAATCGATTGCACATCATTGCTCTGCCGGTGTTCTGTTGTATCGATCCCAGTCGTCTATGGAATTAATTAGCTCTCAGATCTATAAAATTCTACGCAGATTTGCAATCCACAGTGTCCGTTCATTGTTCGAGTTGAAGAAAAAAAGGCAGCAACTGATTCAAGTTATCTATTCTAAGGGACTTCTAAACTTTATTCCAGCTGCACTGGGGAGAACCTGTCTATCCCCTTCTCCGCTGCAGTGTGTGATAGCCAAGCTGTCGGCGTGTCTCCGCAAGCGTGGCCCCCCTCTTCGTCAACAACTCGCGGATCTGCGCTTCACTCTCGGAGATCGTGCGGGCGAGCTCCGCTACTTCGCGCACGCGACTTCGAGGTATGATCACGACACCATTGGAATCAGCGACAACGATGTCCCGGGACTCGACCCGGACCTTCCCGATACCAACAGGCCCGTTGACCTCGCCAACCTGGACCCGATCTTTCCCGGTACGCATCCATCGTCCTGCGGTGTATAGTGGGTATCCCTCCTCTAGGGCCAGATCCACGTCGCGACACACTCCATCGATCACCGTGCCCGCAACCCCCCGCAGCGCGGCATAGTGAGTCATGATATCACCCCAGACGGTACAGTCTGTGCGGCTACTGTTATCGATAACAACTACATCCCCAACCGCCACATCATCCAGGAAATCCCCCACACTGCCAGGCGGGTCGCTCGCGGGGACATAACGAACAGTAAATGCCGGTCCAACAGTAACGCGCCGATTACTCGACCCCGAAGAAGACAATGGCTGGATTCCCCAGGCCTGTCCCGCGATCCCCAGGGAATCCAAGGCATCCGAGACCGCTGGCGAGTCCAATCCTCTCAAAAGTCCAACTAGTTCCTGATCCTCCGCGCTCGCCTTCCGCGGGTTCTCTTGCGATAAGGGGCTGGCAGCGGCGGCAGCTGACACGGTCTCTTGCCGGAGTTGCTCGAAGCGTGAGTCGCGCATTACTGCTGACACCGTCTGCCCAGAGCGCACCGCCTCTACCATCTGGCCTTCGCGGTGGTGGATCTGCTCTGCCAGGGTGAGGACGATCGCGATATGTGCAGCAGGGACGAAGACAGTACCGCACGCATCCGCGATAACATAGTCATCCTGCTCGACTGTCACACCCCCACAGACACGCACGGGTTTGCCAGCGCTGACAGAGACTATGCGACTCCGACCACTGATCATCGTCACAGCACGTCCGTAGAGCGGATACTGGACCTCGACGCTACCGTCGATATCCCGGCATACTCCATCGATTACGGTTCCGCGGATTCCCTTGGCCTTGGCGGCGTTTGCAATAATATCGCCCCAGCAGGAGACACCCTCCAGACCGCCGGCAATGACGAGGATCCGGTCGTCACTGCTGACTGCGTCGATGGTAGGAGCAAAAGGATGAGGCGTTGGAGCTGTCCCGATCCTCGGGCCTACTTCCACTGTGCTAGCGCGGCCGACGATTTTCGGGCAGTTCCAGAGAGGCCGGAGGCCGTATGTGGCCCCACGAAGGTTAAGGACATCTAATGCATCGGATACTGTATTGGTGTCGAGGGCCGCGAGGCGGTCCAGAAAGTTGCTCGTATCACTCATCCTCTTTCGGTTATAGTTACTGACAGACTTGGGGAAAGAGAATCGTAAAATTGAGGAAAACATGTAACAATAGTATTCGCTTCTGAAGCATTTGGTCAACTTGTACTCCGACGACCTCTTTATGTGTCGGATATAGACTGGTTCGGATGCAAATACTCCGTATATCGGCAAGGGTATGCGGGGTGGGACATCCCGAGTTGTCTGCCGTTTCCTGTCATCCCGGCCGACGGACGGGATGTGACGGTCCGTCTACTGATTGATGCACCATGAAACGGAATCTTCTATCCCGCTGTATTCGATGGGTACCCCGCTATCACAGACCTTAAATAACATGAGTATGTCAATCATATCATGGCGCAAAGCAATCACAGCAGATTCGAAGCGATGGGAACGCGGGTAGCTCCAAACCGGTCGATAGAAAACGGAGACTACGCGATCAAGGGTACCAGCGAAATATCTGGGTGTTGGCCCTCACTACCCAGCATGCAAAATCATCGTGATTTATTCTTTCCTTCGTGCTGGGACATAGTAATATAGGGAACATGATGACGTTAGTTCTAGTCATAATGGGTTGAATTCGAAGGTGATATCATGTAAGCCTGCGTATCACCAACCCACTCACCGGCTCTACACTTACCCCCAGTGGGGTTAACATAATGTATCATACCGGGAATCAGGTATTAGATTCAAAGCTTCTTTAATGATACCCGCATCCAAATAAGCAACTTGAGCTTGGATGCTGGTTCCATGTCGCTTGGCTGCTATCGCGGGGTCCTGTGCGGACTTGACCTTGAAGTGAGATACTACTACTTCCGCACTCGGGCTGTTGATCCATCATATTTCTGTTAGTAGTAGGTAAGTAGAAAGACATGAGTACTCCGTCTGGACAAACCCTTACAATCCCCCAAGATGTCTTTGCAGTCATATCTTCAAGGATTCAGATTCTACTGTGATCATACATTGCATCGGTGCTTTAATACACACAATATACCTGCTAGCTGACCTGTCACGTACGATATAGACCGCTGGGTATATGTAAGAGAGATATTAACGAGTATCTCCGCCACCAGTGGTCCCGGAGATCTGTGAATAATTTGCCCATGTAGACTAAAGAAGTACAGTTTGTGCTTTCCATGTGCCTACACTGGTGGAATGGACTCTCGGCAAATGGGACACTGCAATCGAAGTCGCATCCAGCTCTCGAGACAGGTACTATGGAAGATATGCCGACATGGGGTGACCATGTATGTCCGTCGGCTAAGGAGACTGGTGGCCCCGTCCGTCATGCTGCTACTGCCTGCACCACCCGCAGCTGCAAGGACAGGAACCTCGATTTCTTGCATGCAAATGGCACAGTCAAACACTGCCTTCTTCTTATCTTTCGCCCGTTGCTTATCTTCATCCTTGGCTTCCATGGAGTATTCCCGCTCGTCAGCCCTCAAGGCCCCAATCGGAAGGACTCCGCCAGACTCAAGATCGTCACCTGATCCTGAACTGTCGCGTAGCACGGGATGATAGTCATAGGCGGGTGGCGCCCACCCACTAGGAACAAAGAAACGGGGTCCCAGAATGTCCTGGCTAGCCAATACCCAGACCTGAACCCACACCCAGCCAGCCAGTGCCAGGGCTGTGGTCGAGTCGGGTCGAATGAAAAGCACATTCCCGCGTGCAGTCAAAAAGTAAATAAATGGAAAAAGTCGAAGGAAACTTTGACCAACCACAAACTCCCAGCGCAGTGCTTTGCGGCAATTGCGCATGACATTGCGATATATCTGGGGTACCCAGAAGGACAGATAAATAAATCCGAGGGTCCGAGCATATATTGCTCCCATACGGTTCGGCCAAAGGAAGGACCAGACGGATATTATGAGGAGGACAAACAATATAAAGTAGAACCGAGCGTACATGGCACCGATATCACCCCGCGTGTCCTGCGCACTCGGCGTGGCGCCCCGATTCGCGGGAGGTTCGTTTTCTTCTGATGGAGGGTCCTGGTCGGGGGTCAAAATGATAGGTGTTGCGCCCGTATCAGTGACTCGAGTCGTAGTGGCAGGCAGGGGAAGATTCCCTGGCCGCGTAGTAGGATTCGGTCGACGTTCTTGTTCTCTTCGCTCCGGGGCCTGGACTGCCCATATTTCCATCATAAATTTCATTCCGATATAACTGACCGAGAGGAAGGTCAAGAAGGATGCTGTTGTCATAACAAGGAATGAAACGGCCGGATAAAGCTCCAGCAGCATGAAGACAAGTACGAAAGAATCGCCGAACGCCATGAGCGCGATCGTGTAGAAGCTGATCCGGCTTCTAGTAGATGGCGTGGATGCTTCTTTGATTTGGCGCAAGAGTAATGCGATCTGGCCAACAGAAAAGGCCGAGATCATAAAAATGATGCGAGCAGAGAATTTGCCGAATTCCTCCATCTTCGGTCCTGATAAATAGAGTGCTTCTGTTGGTGGGAAGTCAGGAGCTCCCTTGGTCTCCAGGATGTACCCACAATCAGGCGAGAAGACGACAGCTGACATGACTAACAGTGGTGGAGACGGAATAGGGGCTCCCAATGGATATCTCAGCTCTTGTTCTATCTGCTCGATGATCGTTTTATCTGTGAGGTAGCCGTGGATCGCGACGGGGTGCAGCTGGAGGTAGACGATATGTTCACATTTTGGAGCCGGGTATTCCACCTGCTCCGTCCCGACAAGTGAGGACCAAGGAAATAGGGTAGGAGGTCGATTCTGCTTCTCGGATATAGTGTCCGAGAGGGACTTGACGAGAAGCTGGTGGGTGAGATTGTATGCGTCAGGCGAGAGCATCAGATGCGGTAATGTGAATACGCCACCAAATTTCTCGCTGGTTGTAGTCAAGATGATGGCACCCGTCTCCGGGAAATGAACACCGAACAGCGATAGATACCAGGTATTACCCCAGAAATCGCCACTCTCTACAGCCAAAGTTGCTCGAATCTCCCGAACCTGGCCTTCAGGCAACTGAACCTCCTCACCACCGCCCTCCCGGAGATCAAGGTAAAATGTGC